ATTTGAGCATAGTAATTTGCTAAGCAACATTTGGTCCGCCAAAGTTTGCAGTCAGTACATATCATCAGAATGGCCTGGCCAATCAGAAAATGGGTGTGGTCTGTTAGGAATGCCAAATGTTATTACTTTATTTGCATAGTTCTTCAGAAATATTATATAGAACTCTCTAATATTTTATTGATTTTAAAATGCATTTAAACCCAAAAACAAACATTATGGCCAAATAATTTTTTCAGGCTTTTTTTTTTTTTACTTTATTTTCATCTGATGTTTTTCTAGTACCACACTTCCTGCGCTAGAGTGAAAACACTCCCTCATTGTTCTCTGTAGAGGAGCAGCGGTGTCCCCATAGTATAAGAAGTGTGTTAGGGCTACAGAACACTCCTCCCTCTCCTTATTTCCATAACATTGGTGGAAATATTCTGTAAGCCCTTTCACACTTCTTAATAACATTTTTTTGAGATAAGACTGCAGAGTGTATAGGGCAACCTTGGATGTCTGGTGGGATCAAGGGGTATTTTTTGCACTTATTGAAGAAATATAACAAACTGGTAAATTTAACAGACAATATGTGAGCAAAAGGGGGCTCGTTCATGTCACAATCATGCCCACAGGTAGAGGTGTGGTTCTCCATTTTACCCCAAACTTCTACATTTTGGTATTGCTCTTAAACTCATATGCCATCCCCTGAGGGGGGGGGGGGAGGTGTAGTATCGTGCATACAAGAGCCAGGCACAGGCTCTCGCTGTAATAAGAAGTTTCTGTATCCCCCTCATTCTGCCCCCTCCCTCAGGAATGTGTTCGGTATAACTGTTTAAACAAATCCAAATAAGGTAGTAAAGATACCAGTTGATTTTGTGTAGTAAAAGAAGCTGTTATGCTTTGTGTGTAGTCACAGCAGTGAGGACCATCTGAGATATAACATCTAACAGACAGAAAGCAAAGGAGAATCTCGCAACAACGAAACCGAGTGCGAGACCAGAAATCCCTTTTTAGCTCAGGCATTTATTTGGCAAGTACTTATTTACCTAAACTTCTTTCTGTTATCTGTTTGTTGTGCTGTTGTGCTCTGTATATTTATATATATTGTGGGGTTAGCTCAGGTGGGGGATCTCCTTCCCTGGGAAAAAAGGTAGACCGCACAGCAGGCTTTCTTCAAAATCTGACTGGTTGTCAGTTTTATTTAAAAGGCTTGCAAAAATATCAAAATAAACAAAACATCAAAATAAACACTTGCCATCCAGGCACTAACTAAACAGGAGACGTTTCCTCTCTCAGAGGTGAAGGGCTTCTCCCTGTCACCCAAAACAAAACAAAAGCAAACCTTTTCTTGTAGGTATAGTACACACACAGCTCTCTCAGAATATCTCTGAGTCCCAGGCCACGAGCAACTCCTTGCTCCAGCCCTGCCCTTTTTGTATCAGCTGTTGGTGGTCATCAGTGGAGCCCAAACTCCGGACCCACCTCCTCAACTGTGGCCCCGAAAACCGGAGTGGACTCCACCTAAACTGCCAGGTATGAGCGTATGCGAGGTGACACATAGCGTCCCTCTATCACCTCGCCGTTCATACTGTCACAATATATATATATATTGGTTACATCTTCTTCCTGTAAATATTTCTACTGCACCCTTTTGACCTTTTAGTAATAAATCTTACTTTCTAAAAGTGTTGAACTGTTTCTATAGCTCCTGAATGTAACTTACGAGTCCCTGCCGCTGAAGAACGCTACTATGAGAATTTAACCCTCTGTATAACCAGTCTGTAGAGATAGCGGGATACTGACGGTTAACCAATCACCCTAGTGTATTGCTGAGTTTCCTCTTTCTCTGTATAAAAAGGAGGTAGTGGCAGTGTGAAGGGTTAATTGTGTATTTAACCTGACCCAGTAACAATCGCTCCCAGGCTGCCGGTACATAGATTGTGGTCCAATTATCTGGAAAATCGTTGTGCAGGGTGCAGCTGGGTGTGGCATTGTTACGCATGTGACATCGCGGTGTTCGGATTGGCTAGTCCTTCGGTCATGAATTTGGTGAGAAGGGCTGGGGTCTGACGCTTCGCTCGTCACAGTTCACACCAGCTTTTGAGTGATCTGCAATCAGAATGCTCTTCAAAGAGCATATGAGAAATGGTTAGAAGGCGTTGTATTGCCTACTCACTCTTGCTTTAATTCCTTGAACCCCACAATGGCGCTCGACAACCATGTGCATTGCATGTGGTTGCAGGGCACTTGCAGAGTTCCCCTATTCACTTGAATCATTCAATCATTGAATCATTCAGAGTATTGTTCCTGCTACAGACATGGCATATGTACACGCCTAGCTATGGCCTCTACAGCTAAAGGGGGTAGCAGTTGAGGGTGGTGAAAGCACGGCTCAACCACCTCAGGGTTTTACTGAAGTCCAGCCACTAGTGTGAATAAGCTTTAACAGAAATTTATTGGTATGATATATATACATATATATATATATATATATATATATATATATACACATACACACACACACACACAATAAGCAGGGATAGGTGCATATTCATATCTGAGCAATGTTTCCAAAATTAAGGCACTGGTGGAGGCTACGTAAATGTGCTTTATATACATCACATATTATCAGTAAACTAAAGTCCACAAAGCAAGCATATGCATTAAAACAAGTTAGCTACTCGTAAATACGAATGAAAAGAAAAATTATAAACGTGCTGTGGTGTTGCCCCTTTTCTTTGCTACTAACTGGGTCAAAATTAACTTATAATAAATCTGACCCCAATTTCAAATAGCCTTTTCTTTCTCACCACCCATAGAGTCACATGATGCATAGCAAATTGGTACATTATGATATAATACATACATCTCAGTTGCTCACCAGGAGTCTGCTCCTTATATTCAGTTTAGCTCTTCAATTAGACTGTTATACATGTTGCTTATGATGGTTTATGACTATAGCCAACAGTTAAATGAGAGTAAATAATTTGACCAGCTCGAATATTTTTTCCCCTAAAGATTTACTTGAACATGCACATTTACTTATATAGCACACCTATATTATATTGCTAAACGTATTGGGACACCCCTCAAAATCATTGGATTCAGGTGTTCCAATAACATGGTCACAGGTGTATAAAATCAAGTACCTAGGTGTCAGGGCTCCGGGTATGACCAGAGGTATGTGAACTGACGCAGGGAAACGCAGGCTTCAGATATGTTATAAACAATATAATTTATTAATACTAACAATACATAAACGCAGTGCAATACTAAAACATAACACAGTGCAAACGAACCCAACCAAACCACCCACAGATAAACAATACATACAATGCAAGCGTAGTCAGGCAGGCCAGGTCAATAACAATCGGGCAGGTAGGAACAGGAGGAGCAGGCAGAGAGTAGTCAGGTCACGAGCCGGGTACAGCAACTAACGGGCAGGTAGGTACAGGGGGTCAGGCAGAGAATGGCCGGGGTCACAAGCCAGGGATCAAACAGGAGAAGTCAGCAGAGGTCCGGATCAGGCAGGGTCGGCAACAAATCAGTCAGACAGGAACAGGAACGCAGGTAACAAGATACAGGGGCCCATGGAAAAACACACACCAAGGCACAGACTGCAGGTCTGGCCATCCCTTAAATACACCTGCAATCAGCCTCAGGTGTTTTGGCTGACTGCAGGGTTGAGTCTCTGATTGCTGAGAGCACCCGCTGGCCAGCCCTGGTACTGCAGCCCACAAGGCAGGTGAGTCCCCCCATTATTGGTAACTCCATTCCTGACAGTACCCCCCCCTCAAGGAGCGGCCTCAGGACGCTCCAAACAGTCCTAGCTGGGCAAAATGTTCCACCGCCCGGGTCTGGTAACTGGGGGGATATCAAAGACTGGCACATCGGGCTGGACTCTGGGCAGAGGCACATCGGGCTGGCCTGGACTCTGGGCTGGACTCCGGGCACATCGGCCTGGACTCCGGGCAGCGGCACATCGGGCTGGACTCCGGGCAGCGGCACATCGGCCTGGACTCCGGGCAGCGGCACATCAGGGTGGACTCCGGGCAGCGGCACATCGGGCTGGACTCCCCCAGCGGCACATCAGGCTGGAGCGGGCAGAGGCACAGGGCCCCCAGGAGGAGCGGCAGGCACAGGGCCCCCCGGGCCCCCAGGCGGAGCGACAGGCATCGGGCCCCCAGGTGGAGCGACAGGCACCGGGCCCCCAGTCGGAGCGGCAGGCACAGGCCCCCAGGCGGAGCGGCAGGCACAGGGCCCCCAGGAGGAGGGCAGGCACAGGGGCCCCCAGGAGGGGCGGCCGAGCCCCCAGGCGGAGCGGCGGGGCGCCGCACCCCCAGGCGGAGTGGCGGGCGCCAGACCCCCAGGAGGGGCGGCGGGTGCCGGGCCCCCAGGCAGAGCGGTGGGCACTGGGTCGTCAGGCACGACAGCGGGCATCGGGTCACCAGGCATCAGGTCATTTGGCTCGCCAGCGGGCACCACGTCATCTGGCAAGGCAGTGGGCACCGAGTCACCAGGCACGACAGTGGGTTCCGAGTCAACTGGCATGACCGCGGGCACTGGGTCAGACATTGGATCATCTGGCTCGACAGCGGGCATCGGGTCACCAGGCATCAGGTCATTTGGCTCGCCAGCGGGCACCGCGTCATCTGGCAAGGCAGTGGGCACCGAGTCACCAGGCACGACAGTGGGCTCTGAGTCAATTGGCACGACAGCGGGCACCGGGTCATCAGGTACCGGATCGTCTGGCTCGACAGCAGACACCGGGTCATCTGGCGCTGGATCGTCTGGCTCGACAGCGGGCATCGGGTCACCAGGCATGACAGCGGGCACTGGGTCATCAGGCATTGGATCGTCTGGCTCGACAGAGGGCATCGGGTCACCAGGCATGACAGCGGGGCACTGGGTCATCAGGCATTGGATTGTCTGGCTCGACAGCAAGCATCGGGTCACCAGGTATGACAGCGGGCACTGGGTCACCAGGCATTAGGTCATTTGGCTCACCAGTGGGCACCGCGTCATCTGGCAAGGCAGTGGGCACCGGGTCACCAGGCACGACAGTGGGCTCTGAGTCAATTGGCACAACAGCGGGCACCGGGTCATCATGTACCAGATCGTCTGGCTCGACAGCGGGCATCGGGTCACCAGGCATGACAGCAGGCACTGGGTCATCAGGTACCGGATCGTCTGGATCGACAGCGGGCACCGGGTCATCTGGCGCTGGATCGTCTGGCTCGACAGCGGGCATCGGGTCACCAGGCATGACAGCAGGCACTGGGTCATCGGGCATTGGATCGTCTGGCTCGACAGCGGGCATCGGGTCACCAGGCATCAGGTCATTTGGCTCGACAGTGGGCACCGCGTCATCTGGCAAGGCAGTGGGCACCGAGTCACCAGGCACGACTGTGGGCTCTGAGTCAATTGGCACGACAGCGGGCACCGGGTCATCAGGTACCGGATCATCTGGCTCGACAGCAGGCACCGGGTCATCTGGCGCTGGATCGTCTGGCTCGACAGCAGGCATCGGGTCACCAGGCATGACAGCGGGCACTGGGTCATCAGGCATGATAGGATCATCAGGCTGGATCAGTTCATCAGGCTGGGTACAGACATCAGGCTGGGTAGGGACATCAAGCTGAAGTGCGGGTGCCGAGGCACCAGGCTGAACCACGGAAGGCAGGTTCTCAGACAGCAGGCTCACCGGTTTGGATACTGGCAGGATGGTACTGGTTGGAAAGAATTTTCACTTTTTTCTGGTTTTAACTACTGGAGCACTGCAAGTAAACGCAGGTCTGCAAACGAATGGAGCAGCTGAGGACAGAGAAGAGCTGGAAGATGGAACAGAGGAGGGAGTAGAGGACCTCTCCACAGGGCCAAAGAAAGGATAGGTGCAGCGAGTGGGAGCAGGGGACTGGTATGCGGTAGTTAGAGTATACTGGGCCGTCACAGGGGGTTCTGTCGGGGATGCAGGAAGAGTGCCTTGAGCAGAGGAATGACGTTGCAAGCTGACTGAGGCTGGGTGCAACAAGTCTGACCATGTCTGCAGTATGGGTTGAACAAAGCTGAGCTTACACAAAGCCTGTCTGGTCAAAGACTGCACTGCGTTTTATACAATCCCTTAATACCTGTGGTGAACATGCAGCATAATGCTCCAAGAAGCAATCCACATCATCCTCTAATAACCATACCAGGGACTCTACCTGGTCTGCACTAAATGGTGGCAAAAAGTCATTCCTGCTTTCAGGGGTACCAGATGAAGCCAACTCTACACAAACCTGAATCAAAGGTTGCACCTCAGAGAACTCTGTGCCCTGATCTACTAGAACATGAGCGATCCATATACATTCTAGCAGTTGATCCCGGGTATACTCCCTCAGAGTCTGATAAGCATATTCTCTGTCATCAAAAACCAGCAGCGACAAATACACAACCTCATCAAGATCCATCCTTCCCAGCAACAAGCCAAGATGGCTTCCCTGTGCAGCCACTTCTGGTCAGGATTGGCCTTGGTGTAATGTCAGGGCTCCGGGTATGACCAGAGGTATGTGAACTGACACAGGGAAACGCAGGCTTCAGATATGTTATAAACAATATAATTTATTAATACTAACAATACATAAACGCAGTGCAATACTAAAACATAACACAGTGCAAACAAACCCAACCAAACCACCCACAGATAACAATACATACAATGCAAGCGTAGTCAGGCAGGCCGGGTCAATAACAATCGGGCAGGTAGGAACAGGAGGAGCAGGCAGAGAGTAGTCAGGTCACGAGCCGGGTACAGCAACTAACGGGCAGGTAGGTACAGGGGGTCAGGCAGAGAATGGTCGGGGTCACAAGCCAGGGATCAAACAGGAGAAGTCAGCAGAGGTCCGGATCAGGGCAGGGTCGGCAACTAATCAGTCAGACAGGAACAGGAACAGGAATCTAGGTAACAAGATACAGAGGCCCATGGAAAAAACACACACCAAGGCACAGACTGCATGTCTGGCCATCCCTTAAATACACCTGCAATCAGCCTCAGGTGTTTTGGCTGACTGCAGGGTTGAGTCTCTGATTGCTGAGAGCACCCGCTAGCCAGCCCTGGTACTGCAGCCCACAAGGCAGGTGAGTCCCACCATTATTGGCAAGTCCATTCCTGACACTAGGCATGCAGACTGCTTCCACAAATGTTTGTGAAAGAATGGGTCGCTCTCAGGAGCATCCAATTCAAGCATGGTGCCGTGATAGGTTGCCACCTGTGAAATAAGTCCAGCTATGAAACTTACTTGCTACTAAATATTCAACTGTTAGTGGTATTATAACAAAGTGGAAGCAACCGGGGACAACAGCAACTCAGTCTTGAAGTGGTAGACCATGTAAAATGACAGAGCGGGGTCAGTGCATGCTGAAGCGCACAGTGTGCAAAAGTTGCCAACTGTCTGCAGAGTCAATAGCTAAAGACCTCCAAACTTCATGTGGCCTTCAAATTAGCACAACAGTGCATAGAGAGCTTCATGGAATGGGTTCCATGGCCGAGCAGCTGCATCCATGCCTTACATCACCAAGTGCAATGCAAAGTGTTGGATGTAGTGGTGTAAAGCATGCTGCCATGCTCTAGCTCTGCCACTGGACTCTAGAGCAGTGGAGACATATTCTCTGGAGTGATGAATCATGCTTCTCTGTCTGGAAATCCAATGGATGTGTCTGGGTTTGGCAGTTGCTGGGAGAACGGTACTTGCCTGACTGCATTGTGCCAAGTGTAAAGTTTGGTGAATGGGGGATTATGGTGTGGAGTTGTTTTTCAGGGGTTGGGCTTGGCCCCTTAGTTCCAGTGCAGGGGACTGTTAAGGCATCAGCATACCAAGATATTTTGGACAATTTCATGCTCCCAACTTTGTGTAAACAGTTTGGAGATGGCCACTTCCTATCTTAAGTGGCCAAAGTTAACCAAAATATATCCAAGATGTCTTTCCAAGAATAATGGATGGGGAGATGACCACCTGTCATTTGTAGGGCAAGGGACCTGCTTAATTTTTTATGCTACCTACATGATGCATAGAAGCAATAAATATGTAGTCCACTACTTTATTCCTTCTTTATATTGAGAAGAAAATAAAAATAGGGTGCAACAGTATTCCAATCTCTTCAGATATGCTATATCCCCAAAAAGCACTATCTCCCCATAAAATAATTTCTTAATTTACAGGGCTGTGGGGGACCATTTTGGGACCCCCCCTTATGCTGGAGACTATGATTCTTCTGGCTTGCATGGTGGATATGGCTTGGTGGACACCATTGAGTGTGCTTCTATTCATACACTGAGATCTAGCTGGGAACACTTTCTGTTTGAAAACTGATTTTCCCAACTCCTGTACAATCTTTGAAACTTCCTGTATACCACTATCCAATATAATTTGTACTGCTGCTCACCCTGTCATGTGTTCCTACATCCAATATAACAAAACTTTATAGTGATACATGCAGTCATTAACACCCCCCCCCCTCAAAAAAAAATACAATGCAATACTTACAAAAATCTGAATTGAATACTTACAAAAATCTGAATAAACATTGTATAAATAGTAAATACTGCCCATCACACTGAAAAATGTGTGAAAATAAATGTCCATCAACCACCGCATGTGCCTGAGAACCTTAATCAATCAAGACCACTACAAATAAAAATATAAATGAAAAAGAAACTTCTAAAAGTCCTCTTAATGTGCTGTGTTTCTTCTCCAATGCGATTCCCAATAAATCACACCATGAACTCCAAGCACTCCCTCCACTAACATCACAATGCTCTCACCTTCTCTTTAGTCCTATAGGGGAGACTTAGTAAAACCGGAGAGTGCAAAATTAGTGCAGTTTCCAAGGGTTTTTTTTTGCCACAGCCAAAAGCGGTAGTAAACAGCACTTAAAAAAAAATGTTTTCCCCTGCAAGGTAATGTCATAATGTGCTAGTATGCATCGCATACTAGCACAGAAGGATTTACCTTAAAACGAAGCCCTCCAGCGGTGCACTGTCACTGCTGCAGAGGCTTCCATCTTCATCTGGTCTTCCTTCCGGGTTTGTGAGCTCCGACCATCTGGCTGGCTGATCCGCAATGACATCACTCCCACGCATGCGTGTGGGAGTCCTGGGCCACGGCACAGTGCTCTGAAGGAACGGCACGGCTATGCCGTTCCTTCAGAGCACATGTATCGGCTGCCAAAAGGAGCAAATATCTCCTAAATGGTGAACATTTAGGAGATATTAATTTTACCTGCAGGTAAGATTTATTATCAGCTTACCTGTAGGTAAAAGTATACAAAAGGAGTTTACTACCACTTTAATTGAACAAGCTGAAGTCAGAAAAAGATTGGCTACCATGCACAGCTGCAGCAGATTCTGAGTGCTCCAGTTTTAGTAAATACCCCCCATAGAGTAATAATGTGGATTTACAAGCACCAATTTCCATCCATTTCCATCCGTAAATTCCCACAGGTGAGTGGGATATATCTCTTCAATCACTCAAAAAATATAAAAATCATAGTGCTTTCTGCTAAAATGTACGTCTATATTAAAAACAACTGATAACAATATCACTTATATTATATTGTGCACTGTATTGGTGCACTGCATATATATTCTTGCATTGCCCCCTTCAGAGTCAAACACTCTGGTTTTCATACAGCAGTAGAGCTTACTTCCTCTTTAACGTGACATCACTGGCTCCCCGCTACGTGTTGCATCACCAAATCACGTGACCTTGTCAGGGGAACTGCATTACTGCATTCAAGGGTGGACTGATAACTCGTGGGTCCCCGGGCAATAGGGGATCATGGGGCCCCTGTGTCCTTGCCCACACTCAAAGCACACCCAAAAAAGCCTATAAAAGGTACCAGGAGCATTTCATGGGGCCCCCTACTGACCCCGGGCCGTCAGGCGGTGCCCGAGTGCTCGAATGGTCTGTCCGCCCCTGACTGCATTGTATTTTGGGGAGTATTAATGACACTACACTTTTCACTATACATTTTTTGTGACCTGTTATATATCATGTGGTATGAATATTTCCTGCCTATCATCCTTGTCATCATTCTTAAGGGTTCTGGTGTACCACACATTCTCTTATTGCCCCCATCCCACTGGATGACCAGCACCAAGAAGTGGAAATTGTCCCAGTTCAATACTATTGTGTAATAAAAGCAATACTGTTTTACTTAGCGACAACTGGCTAATGGCACTTGGGGTGCTGTCACGTACCTGGTTGGGGAGCCTGACGTGGAGAGAGGGCGTCCTCTTACAACTCCCGCTCGGAGCCCCTGATAGTGGGAGCAGAGGGCGCAGAGCCAGGTGTGTCAGGAGTGCCGTGTAGATCTGAAGCTGACGGCAGGTAGCTGGGGACCCAGGAGATCCGAACACAAGCCAGGTGCAGGTGCAGGTGCAGGAACGTAGGTGCAGCAGCAAGCAGGTGTGGCAGCAGTCAGGATGTGGATTGGGACCGGGCACCGGTGTGTGGATGCAGTAGCAGACAGGTATGGTTTTGACCCATATGCAGCCCACATGCAGAACCGTGGGTGCAGCGGCAGGTGAGTATGGTAGCCAACAAGATGAAGGCCAGGTTCAGGTGCAGGCAGGATAATGTAGCAGAGTCAGACAAGCCGGGTCAGTATCAAGCGGGCAGATAAAGTACAGAAGGAGCAGGCAAGCGAATGATCAGGGATAGCCGGGGTCAGTGCAGGCGGAGTTCTTTCTTAGTCAGGTAATGCAGAATACAGGTATCAGGATCAGGAATATGTGCAGGAACGTAGTAGACCAGAAGGCAGTGATTTTACTACTAAGTAGGTTTAAATAGCCCGCCTGACGAGATGTGTGCGCTTACTGCGCATGCGTGAGTTTTCTGCGCTACTGCACAATTGCGCGGCCTCACGCTCCCGCGCCTGCACACTCGCACTGCCACGAGGGGATCCAGCAACAGGAACCCTGACAGGTGCTGTATAAGGAGACTCAGCACCATAAAAGTTCATTATAAAAATCATTTCATGATATATGGTTTTATGTGGTTTCAAACTTTCAAACTTTCAAACTAACATAAAAAAGTTTACACTTTGTCGTGATTTGGTATTTTAAAAGTCTGATTCCCTATTTGCAAAAACTCTTATACATATGCTGAAGTGACACTTGATTTTCCCACTCTGCTTGCTTTTTACTGTAATTTAGTAAAAATAAAAGCAGACACCCTAACAGCACATGCTCCTACACAGGAATTTTCATTTCAAATATTTAAAATTGCCTTCGGGATCAAAGACATGCCTATATCCAGGGGAGGACAGGTCTGGGGCTTATTTGCCTTCCAGGCTGATATTAATAAGATATGCTGAGCGGGTGGCCCTGAGTGCATATACTTCTCCACTGAGACATCAGTCAGATCAGAGTTACACATGCTGGACATTACATAGTTACCCACCTCCTTTCAGTCCTGCGATCACAGCATTGGATGTTTTTCAGCATCAGCTTGTTTTGAGGATCTAAGATGCCATGTAACTGAATGCCAAGAATACAAATCAAGACGATGCTTGAAGATGTCACAGTAAACTATATCTTTTGAAGTACCTACCTTTCATCATACCTACCAATCAATGTAGCATAATGGCACACTTTGCGATGGAATGCTTTTCAAATCTCCAGAAATGTGTCCCTACTGTGAAGGGTCTGGTTGGTTGTGTTTGACTCCCAGGCCAAAGGATCCCAGTCCTCCCCTGCCTAGCCCCTCTAGTAACCCATTCTAGTTGCAGATATAGTTATAATAATGCCTAGCACTCTTGCTGGCCTCATTTATATAGATGTTTTTACAATTGCCAAGCCCCTAGTTCATAGAAAAGTAGAATATGTGATTTTTTGGGGACTGTTACCCAAATGTTATTTTGAGCCACCAGTGTGCTGTAACTTTCACTAATAATGGCCTGGTACCCTCTGGCAATCATTGGTCTTTTGCAGTGTACTGCCAAGCTACACACCAACATGCACAAAACCTTTGGAAATCAAACACCAAAAACAGTGGCAGTGAATGTGCATATAACTCACAGAGTATAAATATGTTATATATCAATTACTTCATATAAACATCCAGAACAGAGAATTAGCAAAGCCACAGTAAACAGCATTTTTGTAGTCAGGTTTGTCATATAAAATTTGATTTACCTAGCCATTAATGCGTCTTGCTAGGTCAATTTGCTAAACTAATTGTCTTTGTAACATCATGTTCAGGTGATTTTATGTCCTCTGAAATTTCCTTTCTGCGTTGTCTGGTGTGATTTGTCACAGCACCTTATGAATAAAGATTCCAATTTGTCATGCCGCAATTTTCTTTATTTATATTCACTGAAAATTCTATTTTCTGTGTGGAACTGTTTACATCATCACCTGTGGCTGTTTATTAAATTTCCGTCCATATTACTTGAAGTTACAATTATCACAATGCAGGCTACAAATTTTATTATGAAAATACTGAAGCATGCAGTTGTGTTTTTATTTTGTTCATTTAGGCTTGATCATTATAGATGCCGAATGCAGAACATAGCACCCACACTTGGAGTGTTCTCTCTTGCTGGAGAATCAATGTAAGTGAATGCAGTGATAATACCTGAATGCAAAGGTTGCATATTGGGGTTGATTTACTAAATTCCAAATAGACCGTGCACTTTGGAAGTGAACTTGCAAGCTACAAAGACATTTGCTCCAGAGCTTGGTAAATGTGTGAAAGCTCTGCTGACTTCAATCACTCATTCATGTGCAAGCAAATATACTGTTTTTTTATTTTCCTTGCAGGTGACTGGGTATTCTTCGGTGGAGCAAATGCCTTTGCAGAGTGCAACTTCACTTCCAAAGTGCACAGTCTATTTGGTCTTTAGTAAATCAACCCCAATATGCAACCTTTAAGCAAGAGGAAAGCAAAATGAAACTCACTAGGCATGAAAGTGTAATGATCAAAATATACACCCTGTTCCAAATTATTATGCAAATGATATTTTTCTCATTTACCTAAATAATTGATGTAAATAACAGTCAGCATAATTCTCTATTATCAACTATTAAGAGTACAATTCAAATATTATTGAACAAACCTCCTAATGATAACAGTATTTTTTTAAACATAAAAAACTTACAATGCGTCGTTCCAAATTATTCCGCACAGTAAGTTTCAAAACACTTTATAGGTTGTAAAGAACTGAAAATTGTCATTTGTTGTGTTTGCAGCATATTTACTGAAATCAAAAGCTATTTCGATCAAACTTTTAACAACATTTTAACTTTTTAAACATTTTAACAGGTCACGTTACATTGTAACATAGGACCCCTTATTTGATAGCAGCTTCACAAGTCTTGCATCCATTGAACTTGTGAGTTTTTGGACAGTTTCTGCTTGAATTTGTTTGCAAGATGTCAGAATAGCCTCCCAGGGCTGCTGTTTGGATGTAAACTGCCTCCTACACTCATAGATCTTTTGCTTGAGGATGCTCCAAAGGTTCTCAATAGGATTGAGGTCAGGGGAGGATGGAGGCCACACCATGACTTTCTCTCCTTTTATCCCCATTGCAGCCATTGATGCAGAGGTATTCTTTGCAGCATGAGATGGTGCATTGTCATGTATTATGTATCAGGGAAGAAAATGGTCAGTCATAAACTCCACATACTTTGCAGAGGTCATCTTTACACCTTCGGGGACCCTAAAGGGGCTGACCAGCTCTGTTCCCATGATTCCGGCCCAAAACATGACTCCACCACCGCCTTGCTGACGTCGCAGCCTTGTTAGAACAGGGTGGCCGTCCACCAACCATCCACTACTCCATCCATCTGGACCATCCAGAGTTGCATGGCACTCATTAGTGAACAGGACTGTTTGAAAATTAGTCTTCATGTATTATTCTGCCCAATGCAGCCGTTTCTGCTTGTGAGCATTGGTTAGTGGTGGCAGAATAGAAGGTTTATGCACAGTTGCAAGACTCTGGAGGACTCTACACCTTGATGTTCGTGGGACTCCAGAGGCACCAGCAGCTTCCAATATCTGTTTGCTGCTATGTAATGGTATTTTAGCAGCTGCTCTCTTGATCCGATGCATGGATCTGGCAGAAATCTTCCTCAATGTGCCTTTATCTTCACAAACCCGTCTGTGCTCTGAATCAGCCACAAATCTCTTAATAGTGCGATGATCACGCTTAAGTTTTTCGTGAAATATCTAATGTTTTCATGCCTCGTCCAAGGCATTGAACTATTTCATTCTTTTCGGCAGCAGAGAGATCCTTTTTCTTCCCCATATTGCTTGAAAATGTCACCCCACAAGTTTTCTATTGGATTAAGATTGGGCTGGCCACTCCATAAAGTCAATCTTGTTGGTCTGGAACCAAGATGTTGCACGTTTACGGGTGTGTTTTTTCTACCAAAAACAGTGATTGATCAGGTTAGTGATGTCTGACTGCTATTATTTTGAACACAACTGTATAATGATCCAAGCACATTCTCTAAGGATCCAAACAGGTTTGCACCAATAAAGGCACCTTTCACTTCATTTTCCAGGCATTAGCTGTAATAGGCACTGCTCTAAGTATTCACATGGAGGCAAGTAGTAGTAGTTCTTTACTAATCTTGGTAATAATACAGACAGGATATTCCAGATCATGGCATAATAACAGTACAGATTTTGGCAGAACAACAGTTCAGATAATGACATGAGATTTGTAGAATAAAGTCAGCATGAAGGAGCTGGTAGCATCTGTGGTCCCCTGCATGGCCCTTTCTTTTCC